ATACAAGAGGTTATGGCTACTATAAGGAATATATTAAAAGCTATGAATATTATAAGGAACATAAATGAAGATGTGGTCACTATAGGGAAAATCAATTGGATATGGTGACTATATGAACATACAATGCTGTAGTAACAGTGTAAAGAACATATACAGAAGGTTGTGGTTGCTGTATGGGACATATAAGATTTTATGTTAAGAGTATTAATGAAACTATAGTACTGTACTATTAAGAACTTCTTTAATATTCACTGGAGTACATGATTTTTAAGCACTCATACACACTTGGCTAAGGTATGAAAGGTCATACTTGTGATCTGATTGAGTGGTCATACTTGTGATAGCTTGATAAAATGTCTCAACACTGGTGATGAATAGAGGTGAGCGAGTTTTCATCTTGGAAGACCACACTTCCGTAACTACACGACTTATTCAGACAGCAGCGGCGAAACACTGTTGCTTCTGTAGTCAATCTTGTCATGAGGCAAGAATACTATATATGCCATTAAAAAAAGGCAAAAACGGCCAAGATATATATATCATTAAAAAGGGTAAAAACGACCAAGATATATATATCATTAAAAAGTATATATACCATTAAAAGATATAAATGTCATTAAAGATATATGTCTTTAAAAAGTATATATGTCATTAAAAGGGAAAAAACGGTTACGATAAAATAGATGCCTGTTAGAAAAAAAAACAGAAATAAGTTATCTACCGGCCGTAAGCTGTAACGAGATGCAAATAGCATGACGATGCAGATAAGCAAGTCCGTTTAGTTAAAAACGTCTATTATAAAAATAGCAACAAGTATTGAAACGTTTCATTCTTGAATAAAAAAAAGCCTCTAGCTGTGGTCCTAATAAAAGATGGTTATATATTTGTTTAACACAGCAGATGGTAAAATACGTAATGTTTATAACATCCAATAAATTCTGTTTTTCTCCTTTCCCCTTTTCTGGAATCACTGCCATAATTTTCATCTTCATTAACTATATTTGTTTCCTGAACTTAGTTCTTCAACGCTGACTCTCTACTGACTATCGTCTGTTAATTCTTCATTTCATAAAACCATCATCACCTGAAGTAGTAGCATTAATAACATCTCCAATGCCACTTTATGTACCACCTGGTACTATGGGCAACAGCACCTACCGGAAGTTGATGCTGAGAAAGAAAGAGGAACAGCTATTTCCGTTTTAGGCTTTAAAAACAAAATAAAAACATTCTGTCATTCATATTCCTGTATCTATAAATACGCTCAGTTTCACTTGCTTCATCTTTCCACTCCTTTTATCTCTCTATCTCTCTCTTTCTCAATTTTTTCTGTCTTTGTTTCCTCAAATCACGATCTGAATTTTGTCACACTCATCTACACACTCCCATACATTCACCATTTTGATATTTCTATTTGTCATTTTCGGCTCTTTCTAAATTGATTAGTAAAGAATCCATTCGTATCTGAATGTAAACAACTGATTAGTATGAGTTTTATTGACTCAAGTAATTAACGGGGTTTAAACAGAATTAAAATAACAATCATTTTGTGCATAATTTTTCTCAGTGTTTATATATATACACATATATATATATATATATATATATGAAGAAATATAGTTTTAAGTTGTGCTATATTCATGGGATAAAGTGCTCAATATCAGAGAGAGCGCGTATGTAAATATAAATATAAAAGTGAACATTGAAGATAACACTCAGAGGCGACAGGCTATTTCATGCTGGACGCAATCGTCAGGCCGCATATATATATATATATATATATATAGTGATCCAAAGACAGACTATTTCGCTGTATCACAGCTCATCAGTGTGGCTAGACATCCGGTTGCCTCTTGCTAGGATCAGAATCAGACTGAATTGGCGCCAGCCGGAGATTCTACCACTAATCCGTTGGCGCACGGCAGGGATGAGGTGAATTTAAGCGTATTTATTTTTAGATAAACACACTGTGGCTGTGAGAACTCAATTCGATTTAACGAAGAGTCTTGCATTAGTAGCCGTAATAGTCACTGTTTACAAACCCATACTTCCTCCCCAGGGAGCTCAACCGAAATAAATTTTTCAGGAGCATATATATATATATATATATATATTTGGTTGGATATTGAGCGCTTTCTAATAAGTACCGCGCATATAATATATAAATAATTATACATATATATATATTTATTTATATTTATATTCACTTTTCACATATATATATATATATATATATATATATATATATATATATATATATATATATATATATATAAAAGTGAACATTGAAGTCAACGAAGACGGGCTGTTTCATGCTAGACGCAATAGTCAGGCCACGCAACACTCATGGCCTGACGATTGCGTCTAACATGAAACAGTCTGTCGTCTCTAAGTGTTGACTTCAATGTTCACTTTTATATTTACAAACGCTCTATCTCTGATATTGAGCACTTTATCCCATAAATATAGCACACCTTTTAGAGTATATTTCTTCATATATATATATATATATATATATATATATATATATATATATATATATATATATATTATATGAATATATAGTTATTTTTCTGTCGCAAATGCAAAAAATGAAATTAGTTGCAGAAACAGCCACGGAATTCTGTCTTCGATTCAATAACCATAAAGGTATTAAGAACTAAACATAATAGCCTAAGCCAGATTTGAACTCATCCTGCCAATTACACTTTACCCGCGCCTCGATTATTCATTCACCACTCATTCATATATATGTAGGAGTGAGTGGAAAATGAAAAAAAATGATAAAAAGTATAAATAACCACGATATTATACACATACGCTCATATACCCGTAAACGGGCATATGTGCGCGAACGTACACATGCACATATACACTATGAAAAAACTTGCACCAATGAAAAGTCCATATAAAAAAGAAAAAAATCAACAAGCAGACAATTGCTGATAACGCATGACGAATGATCGGAGACTACGAAACTCTGGAGTCGGGATGCTAAATGTATCATCAATCAGCTAAGCGATAATAATAGAGGCATTACTAATAAAAAAGAAAAAGTTAACACTCAGTAATATCAACTATCAACACGGCCACAATACCCTGGCCGTTTTTGGAAAATATAGCATTTCTATAACTCTAGAGACATACATAAAACAATGCATATATTCAGTTAAAAATAAAATAAAATTCATTGTTGATAATAGCTAAAAATATAGCCGAAAGCGCTCGAACACACAAAGCATTTGGACAATTTCTATATATCAGAAAAGAAAATTATAAGAATGAAGAAGAATTAAAATAAAGAAAAAACGCAGTACCTTATCAGTTGTTTTTAATGAAACTTGCATAAAAGAGGGATTGCTGCCGAAATACAGAATTATACACACACACACACACACACACACACACGCACGCACACACACACACACATATATATATATATATATATATATATGTGTGTGTATGTGTGTGTATGTGTGTAAGATTTGTCGGATAGAATAAGAACACTTCAGACGGGGTGTGGTTTTATCCATTTCATTATAAATAAAGATGGAAATGTATGCGTAGGGTGGATTCTATCTGTATAGACCAGAGTGACAACAGATGGATAGGTTAGTTGAATCATCAGCTGAAGCATAAATTTAGGCATCGGATCACTTTTCTGCCTACCCTTGATCCATTAAACAATTACACTAAAAAATTAGTGACATTTTACATCTATGTACATAGAAACATTAAACCTAATTTTTAGTACGGTGGCTCTGTGACGTAACTCCAGCCAATGTATTTCTTCATTGGTATCCGTTAGGCTCTCCTGAAGGATCGAGTTGCGCTCTAAGTAAGGATCAATAGGAGCAGGCGCCGCCTTCATTCAAGGGATGATTACACATGAAGGGTAAATCTGGTGAGGGACATCTTCCAGAATATATTCAGCCACGATATACAGAATCATGGTAGGGATTGCCATAAGTTACAACACTAGCTAGCCTTTAGTGCTTGTAGCGTGAACATTGAACAACACCATCTCCATCTAGAAAATTGTTCAACTACAAACACCTGGAGGAGGCCGAAGCCCGAAGCGTACATCGTTGCGAATATGGCAATAAAGATGAGGGGACAATATAATTGGTGTAAATATTGTAAGTAGTTACAATACCTCATCTCGGAAATATAGGCAAATCCTGAAGAAGGCCGGAGCGTACAACGGCCGAAACGTCGTGAATATGACAATAAAGATGAGAGCAATAGTCCGAACAATGTAAATAATGTAAATAATTTTTAAACTTGTTCTGCAACAGGAAGCCGATGCGATGTGCCAGCAGGGCTATGTCTGCCGATACACTGTCTGTACATCAACTGTGTAAGATGTTCGGAAATTTCTAAAGCCGGTCCGATTTCCAGATATTTTAACCGTTGAACATGCATTAAGACAATGATGGGACGATGTCTGACTCGTTCGGTAAGCCCACCTATTACATTTGCGTTACTGCGTCAAAAGATGCATGGAATGATGTATATCAGGTTTGTTTCAGCAATCTATTTGTATGCAAGTGACAATAAATATGTGTGTTAATCCCCAAGGAGGCTATACAGTGTATAGAGTCTGACTACTGTTGATATAAACCTTATTTTGGAAGCTCTACATATACAGATGTGGTAGTAGGTTGAAGAAAGTGAATATTTTCATACACAATGACCATTAAAATGTCAAATCTGTCAGGTAGGGAAAAAGTGTAAAAAAGTCTGTTATTCGATAAGAACTTAATAAAAACGTGTTTACAACCGAATCACGTCGATGAAATTGTCAAATATCATCTTAAAAACATAGACACGGGCGTGAACAAGCGACCGAACAGACAAGACATACGTGCTGTCCACACAAATAGATTCTCAAAGATAGACATCGATTGAAACACGTTCTATGAATGCACGCAAATAAGTTCTGTCCCTCGCTCTCTCACGCATACGCACACACACGTACACAATATACACTCATATACATGTCAAAAACGTATCTATCTATCTATCTATCTATCTATCTATCTATCTATCTATACAATGCTATAAACGTCATTTTCGTGGTTGTACGTATTCAAGTTATATCCTTGTTTTTTTTTTTCTGTCACGGTAACCGCTTCTATAGCTGAAAAGTACATGATGGAAAAGGGGATCCAGGTTCGATTCCCGTCGGAGGCGCAATCTTTCTTTAGTAGGAGATCTCAATCCAGATCGATTATTACTAATTTCAATGTGTAAGAAGAGAAAAAAGGGATAGATACTGAAACACGTGTATCCATTAATATAACCTTTATCGTAATAAGAAATAATGTCTAATATATATATAAATGGATTTGTTTTATCCGATATATATATATATATATATATATATATATATATATATATATATATATATATATATATAAGGCTTATGCAAATGTTTTCAGTACAAACTTTTTGACAAGTAGACAAAAGACACCGAAGATATATTTTCAAATCCCTGGATGCACAAGCAAAGTCAGTGTTTGTTGATAGAATGAAACAAGATATTGCATCTCGCAAGTTTGGTTCTAAAAATTATTGGCGGCTCTAAGAGTGTGCTGAACAACAGAAAATCCTCAATCTCACCTCTATTCAATCAATTCGAAGTCCTAACTTCCTCAGCTGATTAGGCTGAATACATTGCTCAGAAAATCTCATTCAACTCAACACACGACTCATCTGGGGTAACTACACCTGATTTTTTCCAAGTACTGAGGCTAGACTGATTGAGATGTGTATAACCTCGTCAATGGTATTAGACATCATCTCTAAATTAGACTCTGATAAAGCAAGTGGTGGTAACAGGATACCAGCCGTAGTCCTAGAAAAATGTGCCCCTGGTCTGGCTCCAGTTCTCTCCAAACTATACAACTGTTGTCTCACCGATTCTTGCTTTTCAGCCTTTTTCTCGAAGACTGCAATCAACATTCTAAATCGTGAAAGAACAGAACGACACGGTTGAAGGTCGCCTCGAAAGAATTGCTCAATTATTTCTACTCGTAAATATGAATGACTGAATATTTCCCAGTAATATCTCTTACCGTATATGTCAATGTACAAGGCGACCATTTAACCCACCAAAATAGGGATCCGTCTTATACTCCAGGTATAAAATGTGAACCTTGATGGTTTATGGTAAGTTGTTAGTATGGGAGAATTTTGACGGTAGGCTAACCCCTGCCTTAGTAACTATCGACACAAATATTTTCTAGTGAAACAATTCACATAGTTATAAGAAAATAATAAAAGGATAGTGTAGTAAAAGTATTTTACCTTCACATAATACGCACTATGATTGCACAACAACAATAAAACACATATTCGTCAAGAGTTAATTTCAAAATCATCGTCACCCACTGTAAACCGTTTTTTTCATTAAAGATTTGAGCGAAAAGAAAGTATAAGATAACAGAATTTATTTAATAAATTCAATACATGTTAAAATACGATCGGGGAAGTTGTCTTGTACAGTGAATATAGCCCGAAACCTAAATTTTAATTTGAAAATTTTGGCGTCGTCATATACACCGAATCATCTTCTACGCTAGCATATACAGTAACTGACTTTCACAAATTTCTTGATTGGTTTGGTTTGGTTTATTTTACGGCATATCAACCTCAATGGGTTATTTAATGCTGACGAGATTTTTATTACTGGTAGTAATTTTTTTTTTTTTCAAAAAATATACTACTGGTAAAAATGTACTGCTGTTAATAGTTTTACCTTAAAAATGTATTGCTGGTAATAATGTATTGCTGGTAATAATTTTCCCCCCAAAGTATTGCTGGTATTAAAACGTATTTTTTAAAATACTTTCATAGTATTTTAACCCCTTTTTTTGGGGGGGTAACTATTTACCAATAGCTGGGACCCTGACAGCTGCTACTAACCGGGGTCAGGGTGGACTTGGGAACACCAAAAATTAAGAGGTGGTTCCACGCTCCTCAAAACCTCGTGTTCAAAGGCCTTACTCTCGGATGTAGTTTATCGTCACATCCAGGACGCAGATGTAGTTTATCGTCATATCTAGGACGCGAATGTCGTTTATCGTCATACTCAGGACGATAAATTTATTGAAAGTAAGTTGCTTAATTTCTATTAAAGCCTCGGTAAAGTAGGTATGGTGTTTACAGTCAGATCAATATCTTCATCGATGAGTGTATCTGTCCGAATGTACAGTGTATCACAAAAGTGAGTACACTCCTCACATTTCTTCAAATATATATCTCTTCATGGGACAGCACTGAAAAAATTACCTTTTGACACAATGAAAAGTAGTCTGTCTGCAGCATATATAACAGAGTTAATTTCTTTTCCCCTCAAAATAACTCAAAATATAGCCATTAAAAGCTCAACAAAAGTGAGTACACCCCTAAGAAACTATACCCCTAAAAAGTGAGTACACCCCTAAGAAACTACACCCCTAAATGTCTAAATTGAGTACTGCTTTTCATTTTCCCTCCAAAATGTCATGTGACTAATTAGTTTAACTATGCCCATGTGTTCATGGGGAGCAGGTGTATTCAGATTTGTAGTGCAGCTCTAACACTCTCTCTTACCGGTCACTGAAAGTTCCAACATGGCACCACATGGCAAAGAACTCTCTGAGGATCTTAAAAAACGTATTGTTGCACTACATAAAGTTGGCCAAGGCTACAAAAAGATTGCCAACACCCTGAAACTGAGCTGCAGCACAGTGGCTAAGATCATCCAGCATTTTAAAAGAGCAGGGTCCACTCAGAACAGGCCTCGGGTAGGTCGTCCAAAGAAGCTGAGCGCACGTGCTGAGCGTCGCATCCAAATGCTTTCTTTGAAAGATCGGCGTAGGAGTGCTGTTAGCATTGCTGCAGAGATTAAAGAGATTGGGATTCAGCTTGTTAGTGTTCAGACCATACGCCGCACACTACATCAAATTGGTGTGCATGGCTGTCACCCCAGGAGGAAGCCTCTTCTGAAGGCAATACACAAGAAAGCCCACAAACAGTTTGCTGAAGACATGTCAACAAAGCTCATAGATTACTGGAACCATGTCCTATGGTCTGATGAGACGAAATTTAATTTGTTTGGTTCTGATGGCCTTAAGCATGTGTGGCGGCGGCCAGGTGAGGAGTACAAAGATAAGTGTGTCATGCCTACAGTCAAGCATGGTGGTGGGAATGTCATGGTCTGGGGCTGCATGAGTGCTGCATGTATTGGAGAGTTACATTTCATTGAGGGAAACATGAACTCCAACATGTACGGTGAAATACTGCAGCAGAGCATGATCCCCTCCCTCCAGAAACTGGGTCGCAGAGCAGTGTTCCAGCATGACAATGACCCCAAACACACCTCCAAGACAACCACTGCTTTACTGAAGAGGCTGAGGGTAAAGGTGATGGACTGGCCAAGCATGTCTCCAGACTTGAACCCAATAGAACATCTTTGGGCCATCCTCAAACAGAAGGTGGAGGTGCGCAGAGTCTCAAATATCCGCCAGCTCCACGACGTCGTCATTGAGGAGTGGAAGAGCATTCCATTTACTACCTATGAAGCTCTGGTAAACTCCATGCCCAGGAGAGTAAAGGCAGTTTTGGATAATGATGGTGGCCACACAAAATATTGAGAGTTGACATGTTTTATGTTAATATTGACAACTTTTCCTAAGGGATGTACTCACTTTTGTTGCCAGGGATTTAGCTTTTAATGGCTTTTTTAATGGCTATATTTTGAGTTATTTTGAGGGAAAAATAAATTAACTCTGTTATATATGCTGCAGACAGGCTACTTTTCATCGTGTCAAAGTGTCATTTTGTCAGTGTTGTCCCATGAAGAGATATACTTAAATATTTGAAGAAATGTGAGGGGTGTACTCACTTTCGTGATACACTGTAAATGATATAAATAATATCTCAACACAAAAATTATGACAGAATATGTTAACATAAAGTTCCAGGCGTCATGCCATCCGGCCTTCTTCAGGTATATCGATTCGTTAAACTTTCAGCGACTTTCGAACTGAACCCTTTATTTAATCAACAGTAGTAGATTGTTTTCGTCCCGCTTTCCATGTCTAGGGACATCTCTTTCTTGGACATGTTATTGTTGTTTCCACTATCTGAGTGTCTACTACTACGCCCAGGGATTGAACTCGCAATAATACGCCACCAAATTTACTATACAATAGTCGCCTTGAATGGATAAATATATAGATATTTCTTAACATTTGTTGGTCTGCTACAAAGTAATAATCCAGACAGAAAACAAAATTCAGACATTTTCAATCGAAGAATATAAAGAAAATTACGAAGTATTGTCTAGTCTGGCACAAGGTGGCAATAACAAGTCATCTATTAAGGAAGAAATTTACTATTTATGGTTTGTTCGACACGGAATCGAATCAGTTCTACATATTTTGTAATAATATTTTATGAATGGTTGGCTTTCGGGAAAATTAGCCAATGCTCGAGGCTTTTTCCTGAACAACTGATTCGGGGTTCACTTCAAAGGACTAATTTGCTTCTGCGTTCGAACGATTTCAAGTACGTATTATCTAAGCCATTTTCAGCAACTGTATAGAAATTTAAGACCTTTCAGGCAAATAAAATTCAGCTGAGTCATGCCTGCAAATGCGTCAGTTCACGACGTGAAACCTATACGGGAATTATTTATAAGAGCTCAACAAATACAACATTAGCGCTAGCGATCATCCGAATTTGTGTGTCATTGGTGTTGCCTTTATGTAATTAATTCCTACACCACGAAAACTCGGATCAAGTTGAGAAGTAATTTCGAAGTTTCAAGTGGCAATAGTAACACGATAAAAGGTTAGGGGAAAAATTCTTACAAGTCACTCGTCATTTTGTAATTTTGCAACAAACGATAGAAGCAAATTAAATTATTAACCAAAAACAAAAGAATAGAACGTTGTGATTATTTGGGCGTGATTAGTTAGGCAAGTAGCAGCGATCTATCCTAATAATGACTTTGCCCGCTAAATGGCTACAAATATCGTTAAATATTTACACATAAGTGGGTGCATACACCTATTATGTACCATGTTCCCTTGAGATTTGGAAAACCATACCTCTCCACTGTTTCACATCCTTTG